AATATTATCTGAAAAAACTAATTCATACCAATGCTGTTCAGTGTGCGGTGTCTCTCCGAAAAATATGAATAGTCTTGATATCCTTAATATAGATTATACTAAAAGAGAGTTCAAATATGGTCTTTCCAGTCTTCATGCATGGATTCGATTTTGCATGGTTTTGCACATTGCATATAAAAAAGAAACAAGAAAGTGGCGAGCAAGATCTAAAGAACACAAAGAAAAGGCATCTTTAGCTAAAAAAAAGATTCAGACTAATTTTATAAACAAAATGGGATTTGTTGTTGATTTCCTTCAAAGTGATGGTTCTGGAACAAGTAATGATGGCAACACCTCAAGGCGTGTTTTTGCAGGATATGAACAAACAGCTAAAATTCTAGGTATTGATCAAAATCTTATCTTCAGATTTTACATTGTCTTGGTAAAACTCTCTTCAGGATATGAAATAGACAACTTAAAATTTAAGGATTATTGTTTTGACACTGTTAGACTATATGTGTCCCATGGACATGATATAATTAAAAATCTTACATTACCCATCGGACTTATGTCAGAGGAAGCTCAAGAGGCTAGAAGAAATAAAGACTTTTAATCTTATCGCAAAAATTTCAGCCAAAAAACATCTAGAAAAGCAACAAGTACTGACCTTATCAATAGACTCCTAGTTTCCAGTGTCCTGTTATTTCATCACTGCGTAAATCAACATTACACCAAACAAATCATGATTCCTTGATGATGCTTTACAATTACTTAAACAATCTTTAAATGATGTTATTGTTTTATAATTTTTTGATGTAATTTAAAATTGACAATGTTTTCTTGCACTAATTTTTGTTTTTATTATTGCAAAAACATTATTTACCTAAATACTATATAGAAAATCCAATATAATATTCAAATATTAATTTACCACTTTGTAACTAAGGTAAGTATCTGGTAACTAAGCAATATAAGTATCCATAATTTAATTTTAAAAAATATCAAAAATAGGTTGTTGCTAAGCAAAATAAAGGTTTTCATAGCAACAACAAAAAAAATATTACCTTCTTAAAAAGCGCAAACATCATATTAGCACTTATGCTAATTTTAGTGAATATAGCTCTAATATTAAATTAGTTTTGAATTTTGTCCAGTAAAAGTGAATTCTGGCCCACTGTGCAGTGGAAGGAAGAAAATAGCCATAACATTCAAAAGTCAAATTCGAAGGAAAGTTCTTTGCAAATATTTCTGCCTTATCCTTGGGAAAGGTAATAATCCCATGAATGAGAGATAGAATGTTAGACCTACCCTTTATAAATGACGATGTTGAAGAGTTTCCAGAAGTTTCTAGAGCCTAACTTCTGTGATGCAAGATCAACCCTAACTTCATGTCCTCAGAAAACACTTTGAGGAATGATAGTCCATATATAGTAGAACATTTAGATATAAATTTACAAACTATTATATCTGAGAAAGATATTTTGATTTTAAATTTTGAAGCTAATAGGCCTAAAAAATTGCAAAATGACAGGGGATTTTGCAGAACTTATTACTCAACTTGGTTATGGGGAAAACATCTAGAAGTGATTTCAAGTGAAAACATTAGTGTTTCTGAAAATTATTATTATTTTTTTTTTCATTCCCAAAATAAATACCTTAAAATAATGTCTTATTTTTGTGGCGTTTTTTTCAAAAAATTTCTGTGAAAAAGCATGCATTTCAAAATATAAACAATTTTCACAACACACTAAAACATATAAGTTGCAAAAATGCCTAACAAAGCCAAAGACCACGAAGGGAATAGAAAAGCTGTTTGTTTTTTTTTTTTTTTTTTTTTTTTTTTTTTTATTATACTTCACCTCCGAGAAGGCCGAGAAGGCCACTACAGACGAGGAGGCTACTTATTTTGTGGCTATAACCCTCTCTCAACTCTATAACTCCGAAACACGAACCTTGACGAACAAGGCCGCTGCGCAGAGAAACGAGTTGAGCGCGGTACTACCAGGGACGTGGTGGGGATCGAACTCGGAACCACTCGTTTATGAAGCGAGCGTTCTACCACTACACCACTACAGACACTTTTGTGTCTTCAGAAGAAAAATCGTAGCTAACAACTTGAGAAAGCACAAAAAGTTTTCAAAGTTGAGCTGGATTTTTCTGATAACAGGATTCCTTCAGGTATTTGTGAAAGGTGTTGTGTTGCCATGGTTGTGTGAAGAAAAGATGAGGGTAAAAATCCTTCTCTTCCTAGCCTTTACGATTTTAAGAGCATTTCAGTTTGACCAGCTACTAGAGAATCTCCTTGTGATTGTTTGATCTGTCAAATTGCCAGAAATAAGCTAAACATTCCTCATCCACTGTCAGCAAGTAAACCTAAGAATGAAGGAAGTATTGAAAATAGATGTTCAGACTGTTTTTCTGTGATTGGACGAGGACTGTCCCACAATTGTACAAAAGAAACAATGCGACAAAATTTGGTACCAGTTGCCTCAAAAGATGCAGTGGCTGCAGAGATGGCTGCTGCTCTTCAAATTCGGGAACAGCCTTTTTATGGGGGCCAATTTGCTGGGAATGACTGTCAAAAGTTATTGAAGCATACAGATGTTTCACAAAATCTGAACAAAGCTCTTCATTCAATGCCATGTCTTTTGTTGAAACTTTCAGATGTTTTGAAAGGGTTGTGAATTTTTGCTTTAGAAATAATCTTTCTCCCAACTTTGCAGACAAGATCAAGGAGTTCCAGAGTTCCTTCTTGATGTTGCCTAACACCTCCATCACTCCAAAGTGCATATAGTCTTTTTTCATGTGAAACATTTTATTGACTGCCACAAGTCAAGCCTTATAGTATTTACTTAACAGACCACAGAATTTTTGCATCACAACTTTAATGTACATTGGCAACGATACAAATGTGATCCCAGTCATCTAGAATATGAAAAGAAGCTTTTGAATTGCATTGTAGACCTCAACAGCAAGCATTCATTTTAGTTGAAAGGGTCTTTTTCAAAATCAAAATTAAGAATACTGTAATCTTAAAAATTAAGAATACTGTAATCTTAAAGAATTATTTCCCGATGTGATATTTTCATTCAGAAATGTTGTTTTATATATACAAGAATGCTTTTTTTGTTGTCACAACAATGAAGTGACTTTTAAAAAATAATAATAAATGCTGTAAAAATGCGAAATCTCGTCATTTTGCAATTTTTTAGGCCTATTAGCTTGAAAATTTAAAATCAAAATATCTTTCTCGAATGTAATAGTTTGATTTCCAAATTTATATCTAAATATTCTACTATATATGGGCTTTTATCCCCCAAAAAGGTTTTCTGGGGACATGAGTTTAGGGTTGATTATGGTTTAGGTACACAGTGAATAGCTATTTGTTCTCAAGAAAATTGTTTTTTTAAAAAAGGTTAAAAAAATGATTACAAATTACTAGATATAGCAGCTACACAAGAAGGTGAAAACTATGGAGTAGAATGAGGCTTGAATTGGAACTAACAAGAAGGAATAAAAGTTGCCATTCCTGCCTGAATCCAGCAGGTTACATAAGAGGCGTGTTTTACAGCTGAGAGGGAAAAAGACATCAGCCCAAGGACCATCATGAAGAAAATCATGAAAAGAATCCCAGTCAGCTTTAAGTTAGTAGTAAGTAGTACCATGATAGAGTGAGTCTGAAAATGAAGTACAAGGTGAAAGATTTAAAGAAATCATTAGATGGTCAGAACCACCTTAGGGAGAAAAAGGGAAACACTGAACACCAGCTAGGGTCAGAGACAAGATATCATCAAGACATCAAGAGGTAAAGACAAATGATTAGGGTTGTCAGGAAAAGGAGTCACAAATATAACTGAGTAAAAGATTAAGAAATGCAGAAGTTACAGGCTTTAGTGCCAGCAGGTTACAGTTTGGTTAATAATTGGCCTTAATGTTAGGCAAAATTTCAAGTCTTTGGGCTTGAAAATGTTTGCGTAGGCCTTGGCCTTAAAACTCTTATTATTGGCCTTGACCTTAAAACTCTTGGCTTTGGCCTTGTAAATTTTGGCATTGGCTTTGTCCTTAGCCTTGTAACATGTGGCCTTGGCCTTGTCCTTAGCATTGCTACTTTTGGCCTTGTTACAGTGGCTTTAGAGCCAAGCCATTCAGCGTGATGAGCATTAAAGTCACCAATATCAACAATATTGGAAGAGGGGTAAAGAGAGAGAGCATAGTTAATTTGATCAGAAATTTCATCTAAAAGAGTACAATCTTGGGAAGAAGGAGAACAATAAAGAATAAAGTAAAAGGTGACAGAGTGAAAAGGTATTAGCAGAAGAACATAAAAGAGTAGTCAAACAATTCAAACCAGATTTCACGACAAATAGTCGAATTGATGCATATGTATACCCCCAAGCCAAGCATGTGACTATAAGAGTCTTTGTAAATCAAATGAGAATACCCATCAACATTGAGATCGAAAGAAAGAATAGTGGAATTCAAATTAGTCTCTCTAAGAGAAAGCAAGTCTGGTGAATTTTGCAAGAGGTAAGATTCTGAAGGAAGATTGCTTTGCAGACCATGAATATTTGTAAAAGATACCTGTACCTTCATTAAAATGAGAACCATTAAACTGAGTTTTAGAGCTGTACTCTCATTAGGACATATTAGGACCCTCTTTTCCTCCTTCTTTTGTAGTCTTTTATACAAAACATGCATTAAATCAAAAATACCACCACCACATGGAAAATTTGTTTAAAATTTTTGTGTAGTTTTATGCTTCTACTAAACTTTATCTTTCTTTATTCTCGTGATAAAAAAAAATTAATTTCAACAATATCTTTGTTTCATCATTTATAAAGCTATTTCCTCAAAGCAGAATTATTTTCACTCTAACCAGTGATCTAATTTATGAATTGATTAGGTTTTTAAATTACAATTAATTGTTTGATGATTTACAAGCATTTTGATAATTAAATGTATTACGACTTCATTTAAAAATATTTCATGTGCACACAAATTATAAATGATATTTATTTTAGGAAAATATATCATGTGGTACACCAATTATAAAAGGATCTTGGTTGGGTATAATTCGAGGACAATCCATTGACCTAACTGTTCGTTTAAAGAATGGATCTAAGTTAGTTGAACTTTATTTTGATAATTAAAATTAATTTTTTTTTCTATAATTATAACTATTGTTAATTTAGAGGTGAATGTTTAAGGGGATAAACTGGGTTTGTTATAATTGTGCTTAATTATAGTGTCAGTGAAAAAAGCATTACTCTAAAATTAAAAAAGAAATGGCTTTTTTTAACCTTGATGATATTTTAATTTGTATTATATTTCCAAAAATGGAACAAATAGTTGTTCTTTGTGTTTCTATGTTTAAAGTTTATCAAAAAAGTACAGAAAAATTTTAGATTAAAATATTTTATAAAAATTTTTAAAAGTTAAAGATAAGCAGTAACATTGTAGTGATAAGTGCTTTGTTGCTTAGAGATAAGTACTTTGTTTTTGTTTTTAGTGACAAGTGCTTTGTTTTTACTTTTAAAGTTATTTTCACTTATACTATATAAAAAAAGATTACAGAGGTATCCAGCAAGCTAGATTTATTTAAAAGCTTTTAACTTTTTTTTCTTTTTCTATAATAATCATAATTGATAATAATAATTATGTTTTTATAATGAGATTGAATATCATAACTTCAAGATCAATATAATTATTTTTTATTGAACAACAACTATTAAGGCATTTATCTTCCCAAAAGGGACAATTAGTTATGGAGGCTGATCATTTTTTTTTAAACTTTTTAATTTTTATTTCTGTTACAACCCTCTTTCAATTATTTTATCTCCAAAACATAAAACTTGTTGAGCAAGATTGCTGTGTAAAAAGTACAAGTTAAGCACAGTACTATCTGATTAGCACCAGTCCACATCCACAACATATCAGGTACGTGGTCCACATCAACCACATATCAGATACATGGTAAAGATTGAAAATAGAGAATTTATAGATTAAAAATAGGAAGTTATAGGTTTTAAGATATCAAAAGTTTATTGATTAAAAGAAGACTATCAAAAAATAGTTATATCTTGGAGAAATTATATAAGAAAAGTTTTTGTTTTTACTCCAAATAAAAAAGTAGCACTTTAAAAAAAAAAATAATCAAATAACAACAAAAATCTTCCAGAAATTCAAAGAAATTTGAGGTTTTGTTTACCCATAATTACTTATATTATTTTTAGATGTGTAATTTCTGGTGAATCTATAAATGAGCTCCATGATGTCACTGACCAGCGAGATGAAGATTCAACATTTTACAATAATTATTTTTATCCTGGTCAACAAATACAAGGTATTGCTCGTGTTTTTAAAGAAGCAAAATGGATTTTAGGAACTAAACCAGCCATAAAAAATCAAGGAAAAGTCAAAGCTGTAGTTGAACAGGTTTTTTATTTTATTAATTGAATAGTAAGATATAAAAATTGAATTGAATAAAAATTTACAAATAATTTAATAAAATTAATCATGCTTGCAAAATTTATGCTTATTATAAGTGTAAAAAGATTGTTTTTTTAAGATTATTTTTCAATATTTTTTTAGAAAAATTTTTTAACATACTTTTAAAATAACAATTTTTTTGGTCATTGAGTTTAAAGAATAGTTTTAATAGAAGAGTATTAATTCCATTAATCTTCTTGTAATAATAGTTGGTATTCCATTAATATTCTCTGAAACACTATGAGAATTTGAGATTCATAGTGTTCACTGATTTTTTTTATGATATACTCGAAACAGAAATCATAAAAAAATTTCTATTTATTGATTTCAATTTGTTTCTATTTATTGATTTCAATTTAGGTTGATTTGACCAAACTGATGATTGATTGGCAACTTCTTGGTTACTCTGGTTCACAGCAAGATACCAATTTGCCTTACAATCAACATTTAACTAAAGAAGAAGTGATGAGGTAATTTTATAGTTTTGGCATTTGATATGATCATAGTTTTTTTAAATATAAATAATTAAATGATAAATACTACATACAAATATTATCATAAATCATAGTTTTAGTAAGAAAAAAAAAATCTTTAAAAAGTTTTTAAGGTTTTTCTTCTGAGCTGTCATCAAGACTGTTCTAGTGAAGTACATTTTTTTTTCTTTTTTATCTCAGGTTTTATACCCATCTGAACTTTCTTTCAAAACCATTTGAGGTTTCCTTTGAACCAGAATTTTTCAAGCAGTATTTTAAGGCACCTAAAGTCTATGCATAATAAGTTTAGACAAAGTATCTTGTAAGAAGCTTCTTTGTTTTATAAGAGATGAACATAATTCCATATAATTCCTACTAGTTTTTATATAAAGCTGATTTTTATATTCCTAATATTTATACTTTACAATTTACAATATATAAAGTATAAAATATAAAAATTAATATAATAAAAACAAAATTTTTTTTTTGTAATTTAAAAACATATTGGTAGATAAATATAGTATAAGACTCTTTCAAAAAAAATCTTGTACAAAATAAAATATCTTTCATAGAATGCTCCAGATAAAAAAAGAAAAGTGTTTTTTATTATTCAAATTAGAGTTGTGCCAATTGATATCAGTATCGGTAAAAAAACAGAATACTTTACATCTTCTTCAATGATGTATGGGATCACATTTAATTTGTACAAATTGAATCCGTCATTTCGAAGAGAACATAAGTCCATAACTTTTAAGAGTTAGTTTGAAAATTTAAGTTACAAAAAATATGTGTTTTTTATTTATCTACTCCTCTGTTTTGTTTCTTTAGCACCATAGACATTTTTTTATATTAAAACAACATATTTTTTATTGATTTTGGAAAATTTTAATTAATGGACTGCGTCCATTTTGAAATGACAGACTCAGTTATAATGATTAGTATAGAAATAATTCTCTTTAAACATTATTAATGATTGGTATATTTTCCTCTGAACATTATTTCACACAAAGAGTAAACTGAGAGACTGAAACTGAGAGAGTATAACTAATAGTTTAAGACTATGTAAATCAATTTATCAAATATATATATATATTTATATATATATATATATATAACATAACTGTTTTACAACATACCTGTCATAGTTCAACATACCTGTCAGAAGTGTTCTGCGAAGCTGTTGTCTATACTTTCAAAACTATTTAATAAGTGCTTATCAGAGTCTTGTTTTCCATCCTGCTGGAAAGTGGCATCTGTTATCTTGATTTTCAAAAATTCTGGAGAGAGATCTGACTCATCTAACTACCGTCCCATTAGTCTTCTTCCTATCATAAGCAAGATTTTTGAGTCTTTAATTATCAAACACTTAATCTCTCATATTGAATCTAATAACTTTCTTTCTGATCATCAATATGGATTTTGATCTTCTTGTTCTATTGTTAATTTGTTAGCGGTAATAACTGAGAGGCTTTATCATGCATCAGATAGATGTGGAGAAGCTAAGGCTATCGCTCTCTAAAGCCTTTGATAAAGTTTAGCATGCTGGTCTTCAAAAACTTTCTTCTTATGGTGTATCAGGTAACATCTTTAAGATTATTGAATCTTTCCTTACCAACCGTAGTATAAAAGTTTTCCTCAATGCACAGCACTCTTCTTTATATCAAAGTTCTAATCTTAATCCTATACTCTTTTTGATTTACATTAACAATCTTCCAGAAATTCTCACATCTGAGGTGGTATTGTTTGCTGATGATACTACCATTTATTCTTGTCTTGATAAGAAGCTAACACTCTCTGATTGGTTGGAGGGGGCATTTGAGCTTAAAAATGATCTCACTTCTGCTACAGCATGGGGCTCGCAGTGGCTGGTGAACTTTAATTCAGATAAAATGCAATTTTTTTTTAACCAATCGTTTTCACAATAATTTAGATCTTCCTTTATTTATTAATTGTAATGTACTTGATGAGTCATCTACCCTTTATCTTCTAAGATTAACTCTTACCTCTGATCTTTCTTGAAAACCATATATCAAATCCGTTGCAAAATTAGCATCTGCTAAGGTTGCATCCCTTTATCAAGATTGACACTTTTTTACTTAGGATTTTGTTCTTTATTATTATAAATCTCAAATCCGTCCTTTTATGATGCCTTTTTTTGTTTAGACAAAGTGCAAAAACTTATTGTAAACATAGTTGGACCTGTTCTTGCATCTCCAACCATTATCACATCGTTATAATGTTGATTCTCTTTCTCTTTTCTATAAATACTATAATAGGCACTGCTCTAAAGAGCTAGCGCCTCTTGTGCCATCCACAAAAATTCATTGTCCTATTAGTCATCATTCAATAAATCATCCTTTTACTGTGACTGTTCTTAAGTGCTTTAAAAGTTATTTATCTAGTTTTTTTCCTCGAACATCAGTTCATTGGAATTCACTTCCTTCATCTTGTTTTCCTGATTCATATTATTAGCAATCTTTTAAGTTGTCTGTCAATTATTATCTTGCTCTATAAATTTCTTTTTTTTCCCTGTAACTTCCAGCTCTATTAGTGGTCGCTTGCAGCCTTGTTGGAAGTTGTCAAATAGTAATTTGTTAGAAATAAAAAAAAAATTGTGAATTGATAATTTTTAGTTTAGCCTTTGAAAATCCCTTATTAGTAAAAGCAGTAACTGAAGGCTTAAAAAGAAATTTTGAAATCATATTTGATAACATTAAAATAATAATTGTTTATTAAACAGTTTTCTATTTTTTTTAATATATAAATGAGGAGGTCTTGCAAAATTATTTTGATGGTGGACATTTTGCTTGGGAACAAAAAAGTCCTAAAATATTTAGAACCCCCCCCCCTTTTTTTTTTTTTTCCCTGCACAAAAGTGAGGGCACAAATGTAGTAAAACTTTTAACATTCCTATTTTAAACTAAATTTAAATTCATCAACAGATTTCAAGTTATTTTCATAGAAAAATATTGTAGGTTACAAAAGTTATGACCATGCAAATTTTCTGACTAACCCCTCCCTCCCCAAAATGATAAGGTTTTGCGTAGTCATAACTTTGGTAATTTACAATATTCTTGTATGAAATTTTAAATTTGTAGATAAATTTAAATTTAGTTTAAGAAATTAGAGTTGAAAATTTTACTGTGCACTTATGTTTAGGCAGGGAATGGGGGAGTTTAAGGTTTTTTTTTTAAACTTTGTTTAATTTTTTTTTTAATTGTTAGTTCTGTTTTTAGCACTAAACTCAATAGTTGGTATTCTATGAAAAATATTTATAATGGAAATGTCACAGAATTTTATTTGGTCATGGAAAAGGTCATAGAACTCCTAAATTTTTCTTTAAAGTCATAAAAAATTCAGGGATCTTTTAAAAATGATCTTTGTTTTTTTGTATTTCTAAGTATTCTATATTTTTCTTTGCAAATATCCTAAAAATATCTTGTGATTTTTTAAGTACTTTATGAAAAAGATATTTTTGTAGTTTGAGTTATAGATTATCATTTTATTGCAATCAGTTAGATCACTCAAGTTTAAATTTTAATATTTATCAAAATAAGATATCAATTAAATAAATAATCAAATATGTTTTTAAATTTTGTTATAGCTTGTATCAATCAATCAATTTCGGTCAGGTCAGGTTAGGTCACCTTGGTACTGATAACATGTAATCTAGTACAACCTGTTTCCTAGGATCCTGTTTCCTAGGATCAATTCATAGTATAGCTTTATAGTACTTCTGAGCCACAGTAAAGGCAACTTAAGAAAAGGAAAAATGATATAAACCCCCTAATTTAGTTCTGGGTAAGGGTAGAAGGAGCTCATAAACTATGGGGTCTACCTAAATCACAATAAAAATACTCATCCCTGATCACTAAAACAGATAAACAGCATGATAGGCATTCAAATTTTGTTTCTTAAAATAAAATATTTTAGGTTCTCTTTATTGATGACAAGTTCATTTTAAAATGAGAATAAGTACATTTTTGAATATTGACAAGTACATTTATTATTTTAGAAATATGAGATCTAGGACTAGGTTACAGAGTTAATCCTTGAACTACAGCTATTTACATACAGAATATACATCATTTATTTTTAAATAAATTTTATTTTTGTATGGCCATCTATGTGTGATTTTTACATTGCAACACCCTTGGTTACAGGAAAATTTTCAATAAAAATACTTTAAACATTTTTTTTTCCTGTTATTTATTTATTTATTTATTATTGTTATTATTTTTTTTTTTGCAGTTTTGTTGGAATGGGTTCTACTATCTCTAAAATTATGTTTTAAAACCTCATTTTGGAATGAATGTTTGCAATAAAGTAAAATAAGTTGTAATGAAAACATGTTAAAAATCCTAATAAAAACAGTTGTAATAAAAACATGTCAACTGCAATAAATGTCAATAATTAGTAGCAAAAGTAAAGGTTAATGATTTGTGTGATTAGGAATTTAATCTTTTATGGCTTAAAAGAAGTATAAATATATTAAATTTATTTTTTAGAGTAAACTATGAATTAATAATATTAAAAATGTCTAAGAAAAATTGCAGTTCCAATAGTGATTGCCTCAATGATTCTAGATTTTCAAATTGAATATCTCCAGACAAAACTGTATTGAGTACATGTTTGAGTACATGATGTTTATGTGGCTTCAGTTTAAATAACGTGGCAATCGGAGCAGTAATAAGTCATGGGTTGGGTAAGAAACATCTGAGAAAGGCAGAAGAAACTAAAAGCAATGATATCTTTTTGTAACAAAAAACCATTTCCAATAGAAAAATCTTGTTCATTTGAAGCATCTTCAAAGATTCCAAAATCTATTGAATCGAACATTTTTTACATTCTTGCCTGCGCTCTTAATGCAGAAATACTGTGGACTAAAAAGGTTGTTGTGTCACACTATTCATTTAGATCATGTACTGGTTTAAGTGAGTTGTTTATAGTTACGTTTACAGATAGCAAATATCTTAAAGGTTTTTGAGTAGAAAAAAATGTGGCTATTTAATAAACTTTGGAATATATTCTTATTTTAAAAATGCATTAGTTAAGGAAGTTCAGCTATCACCATACTTTGTTGTCTCCTATGATGAGTCTATGAATCGTATATTTCAAACCATTTCTTCAATGGTTCCTTTCCTCTATGATACCTCGGAAATGATGCTTCAAAATATTTTGTGCATCTTTATAAAAGAATATTTATTGAATGCTGCAACCACTACATATTAATTTATCAAGCTTAATGTGTCAAAAAAGGAAAATCAATTGCCAGCTACTTGGAACAGCAGTCAAATTTATTTTACTTTATAATTATGTGGCAGAAACTGCAAAAATGGCATTTAAAGAAGATTGCATCACTATGCTGGTTAAAGTTGTTGAAAAAACGCAAGAAAGAAGTCCCTTGAAGTTTATGTTGTGTGAAATGCAGCATGTCTATCCCCAAATAATATAGTTAGTAATAGAGAAATTGGGTTTTCTTGTTTTGGTCAACTAGTGGATAAGTTGCATAGATCCAAGTTGATCTCCACCTAAACAGCTGATTCTGCCAGAGATCAGTTTGAAGACTTTACAAAATCTGTTGTAGCAGTAAATAAAAAAGAGTTCAGGCAATTCAGTTGCCTGAAAATGAGCATTGACAAGTTTTTAATGTCTTATTTGAATGGGAATAATCATTTTGAATTATTAAAGAAAGTCTCTATCCTAGCAACTTTATCTCATAGTCAGTGTGTTATTGAGCAGGGTTTTTGTGTCAACAAAGAGCTTTTTGTTGAGAACATGTAACAAACCTCTTTGATAAGTCAGCGCACTGTTTATGTTTATGATGTTGTTGATGATTATGATGATGACGACAATGATGATGATGATGTTGACAATGATGATGATGATCATCATCATCATCATCATCATAATGATCTTGATTGGTTTTTGTTGTAATTATTTTTTACAATTTTTAGTAAGGATTTTTCAGTGTTGAAAAACTACAGAGACAACAATATTCAAATTGGAGATAAAGCCTATTATATTCTTACTCAAGCTGATGTTGATCAGTGTCTCAGTGAAATATCCAAAGTGACCAAAAAGGATAAGGTTAATGAAAAAGGTTTGATGTCTTTCTTTTCAGATAAAGTCTTCATAAAAATATTTAAATAATTTTTTGCACAAACTTATTTTTGTGTTCAATTAAATTTTTAACTTAAATTTTTTACAGGTGCTTCTAAAACTGTTATTTCGGATGATGATGATGACAGTGATAGTGATATTGAGGTGGAACCAGTTATTGGAACAAACAGTTTATCATCTGCACCTAACAGCTCTAGAAGAGGAGTGGTTCGTCCACGTAGGAGAAGGAATGTAGTTTTACAAAAACGTAAAAAGCGATACCATCCACTTGTTTCTTTTGTAGCTGGAGAAAAAATATGTGTAGAAATATGTAAAACTAAAACAAAAGCTGCAGTTTTATGGCAAGATGGAAGTTTTTCTGAAAATATACCATCAACTGAATTGTATCCTGTCATGAATCTAGATGATTCCGAATTTTTTCCTGGTGATTTTGTTGTGGATAAACGAGGTAAAAATTTCTTTAAATATTTACTTAAAGTTGTGTGAAATATTTATAGAGATTTTAAAGTAATGTGTCTAATTACAAATGATATTAAATAAAAGCATAAACAAAAATTAAAATCAAGAAAAAGAATTTAAATATTTAGTGCAGCTGAAAAGTAATGTCAATGCTTTAAAAGCCAGCGTAAAAGCAAGATTAACACATGTGTAAAATGAAACAAATGACTGAAATCTTTTTTTTTTGTAAAAGTAAAGGTATATAAAATAGAAAGCGACAATAAAAACTTTTTTTAATTATCTCTTTGTTTTATTATCTCACTAAACATGAAACAACTTTCAGTTGAAAATTGTTTTAAAAATAGTTAAAAATAAAAAGTTTTTAAAAGATTTTTCAAAAAGTTTGCTTAGTGATTTGTGATTCTTCTTAAATCTTTAATTGAAAAAAAACCTTCAAAAATAAGAAAATTAAATAACTACCATTACTAAAAAGTTGATGCGAAAAAACTATAATTGTATATTGCGATCTAGATTAGTTTTTATTATAAGCTTAGGTATGTGAGAAAAAAAGCAGCACATAATGCTGACACATTGAGAAGTGAGAAATCAAATGGTATTTATTATTTTATTAAAATCTATTGAAACTTTGAAAAAAAACGGTTAAAAACAGTTATTTAATTGTATAAAATAACATTTTTAGCGAACTCTTTGCCAGAAAAGTTTGGAGTTGTGCAAATGGCTGATAATACAGCACGTGTTTGTACAGTTTTATGGTTTTATGGTCATGGTTTAAATGATAAACAGGAAATAGAAAATGATGTAAGTGTTTACGATATAGCTGATCACAGAGATTACACATTTCGTGCTGGAGATGTTGTTTTAAGATTAGCCTCTGAAGATAACTCAAACGAAAATGAAAATGAAAATGTTATTGTATCTCCAGCTGGTCAGGTATTTTAAAACTTTGCTTCTTTTTTTACATGCATCATGACAACTACACAGATATGTTGTAACATAACATAACATGTTTGAGTTTGTAGATGTCAATTTATTAGGATGACACAAAAGTTTATTAAGACTGTGACTTAAATATCTTGTTTTTTCTAATTTATGCATTTCATATATATATATATATATATATATATATATATATATATATATATATATATATATATATGTATATATATATTATATATATATATATATACACACACATATATATATATATATATATATATATATATATATATATATATATATATATATGTATATATATATACACACATATATATATATATATATATATATATGTATATATATATGTATATATATATATATATGTATATATATATATATATATATATATATATATATATATATATATACACACATATATATATATATATACACACACATATATATATATATATATATATATATATATATATATATATATATATATATATATATATATATATACACACACATATATATATATATATATATATATATATATATATATATATATATATATATATATATATATATATATATATAGGCTTGGTCGGGAAGCAGGAGCGATCGCTCTCGATTGCTGACCACGTAAATAATATTTAGTTGCGAAAAGCTGGCCAGATTTTTAGTCGTTTTGAGAACATTTTAAAAAGCAAAAAAAAAAAAAGCGACGAAGATTAATTGGACCGATGAGAGACAATTACAAAAAAAATAAAATTATGCGATGTTTTTTATATAAAGTAACAACTTACGATTGTTTAAAAGGGAAATAAATATTCTTTATTTAACTAAGTTTGCAAGTTTTAGTTTTACTTAATCTAAATTATTTTATAAATAAAAAAGTTAATTTTTTTAATACCTATTTTATGTTTCGCGTAGTTTGAAAAGTTTAACATATTTGAAGCGATTCTTCTTAGTAAGATAAACAAATGAAATAATTAAATCATTGAATTACTATAGGAATTAAATTATCAAGATAGAAATCAACTAAAAAGGTTAAAAATACTTAATGACCAGGAAGCGAAACTGCTTCACAATATCGCTGATGATGTTTAGTGAGTGGGCTTTTTAATTTTAATAAGTATTTAAAGCAGCAAAAAGTATAACGAGTTTTAAGAATGGCAATTTAAGCGAAAATATTTAGAGTTAGTAAACCTATATCTAGAAACTTTTCTTTAAATCTAATTATTTGCTATATATATTTGTGTTTTGTCGTGACCTCAGGCGCGATGCTTGTTCATCCGCGAGTTACTTTGTATGCGTTGTTTGTGTTTAGTGACCAGAAACTTCTTATATGTTTGTTACATAATTAGTTTTATTAACTTTAACGATTATAACTTCATTGAAAACGCAATTATTTTTGTAAGTCTTTGTTTAAATCATGAAAATTGCTTTAAAAGATACATTATGATAAAAAACAAATACACAAAATTACATTTACATAAAGAATACAATCTCTTTTAAAATAAAAAATAAGAATATACTAATAAAATCTATGATTTATAATAAACTTTTAAAATTTTGACAACTTAATATATATTTAAAACATTTATTTTTGTAAACAAATAATAAATATTTTTAAAACAATTTATGCTAGAAATCTCAAAACGTAACAAATCGTGAATTAAAACATTTCAACAGAATACTCTAGAACTTTATTTCGCTTAATCAGCGTATTTTTTGAACCAATAGAATTAGTTTGTTCGTTAATTTGGCGGGTTTTTAGTGTTCGCAAATATTCTTTTTATTCTTGCGCTCAAAGATGTTTTGAGAACATTCAAGTTTTTTATGTTTCCATGTATGTCCGTAAAACAAAAATTTTTTGTTTCGTACATAAACTTAAATGTTCTCAAAACGACTAAAAAACCTGGCCAGTTTTACGCAACTAAATATAATTTCCGTGGTCAGTATTCGAGAGCGATCGCTCCCGCTTCCCGACCAAGCCTGTATATATATATATATATATGTATATATATATATATATATGTATATATATATATATATATATATATATATATATATATATATATATATATATATATATATATATATATATATATATATATATATACATATATATATATATATATATATATATGTGTATATATATATATATATATATATATATATATATATATATATATATATATATATATATATATATATATCAAATAAGTGTGCAGTGATATACTGTTATAGAAAATAAAAATAATTGTGCATTGATATACTGTTACAGAGAATACAAACAAGTGTGCAGGGATATACTGTTACAGAGAATACAAATAAGTGTGTAGTGAAATACTGTTACAGAGTATACAAGCAAGTGTGCAGTGATATAATGTTACAAAGGATATAAGCAAGTGTGCAGTGATATACGGTTACAGAGGGTACAAAACTAAAGTATCAAGTAAAAAAAAAAACCTCAAAAATTGAATTTGGAAATTTTAAATTCTCACTTTGATCCCAAGTTTCCAAAGTATGGTGTTAAAATGACTCATGATCTTGATTGATTTTTAAAAACAAACAATGATGTTGATTACCTCTAATATCATTGTTTGTTTTTAAAAATAAGTTAAAAGTGGAAAGTTTACTTTTCGCAAACAAACATCAGTTGCATAGTATAGAGATTAACATGTTCTATTTATTTATGTGATGATTTATTTAATAAGGGTTAGAATTACATTTTAACAAGTTGTATTCATTGTGACTTTCTAGGGCTTTGATTTTTAAAATATAGACAAACGAAGGTTGTTTTCAATAGCAAATGAAGGTTGTTTTCCATTGGGGCTTTAATTACCCTTGCATCATACATATTTCATAGCTTTGCTAAACAAGGTTTGACTCTAGAAAATTTAAATTTAAATTCTGATAATATCAGTTATATTACCAGACAGCTGAACTATGGAGGTGAAATAATTTCTATGTGTTATTATAGGCTATAACATTTATTAATATTATAGTTATAATATATATATTTTGGCAAATGATAATCAATATTCTATTGATTATATAATGATATTTAGTTGTATATCATTCAAATAATCCTTCATTATGATATGCAACTGACATAGGTCATTTCAGCTTGCAGAAGAACCATTTTCCATGACTTTTCCAACGTTTAACACAATAAGTTTTAACTGGTGCAAAGTAATGATACTTTATCATGACTTGTCAATTTACAATGACTGTGTCAACAATAATGTTAAATACTTAATAACATCTTTTAATAATGTAATACTTGTTATAATAATAAATTGACTTTAATTTTTTTTTAATAGATTACATAAAGATAAATCTCCATCATAGATGAGAAATACATTTCAAACAAAATTATATATATATATATATATATATATATATATATATATATATATATATATATATATATATATATATATGTATGTATGTATATGTATGTATATGTATATATATGTGTGTGTATATATATATATATATTATATATATATATATATATATATATATATATATATATATATATATATATATATATATATATATATATATATATGTATATATATATATATATATATATATATATATATATATATATATATATATATATATATATATATATATATATATATATATATATATAACACATTTATATATTTAGGTAATTCAAGTAAACAACGATGGAACTGTAAAAGTTCGTTGGATTGATGATTCAATTAGTAGTGTCAAGTCAACTAATCTTATTGTTGTAGATCATGAGGTATGTGTTACTTAAAAGTGTTACATTGTGTTTTATATGCAAGGAGTTTGTTATATTATAATTCTATTTAGTCAAAAATAAACAAACTTCAAAACAAACATCTTTAAATTAAATAACAGAACCTTGTATTAAAATAAGATACAGTTTAGTTGAACTGTTTTAATTTTTCCTTCTAGTTTCTTAATTGTACATTCTTTCCTTTTTTGTACGTGGTTGAAATCTAAATATGGTTAGTTGCTTGCTGTTCTTTTCTACAATATTTTTGTAAACTATCCACATTATCTTTGCCACAATATCTTTTTTTTTCTTTGGTAGTAAAAGCTCTAGCAATAAGCTCTATGTAAATTGACTTTAAACTATCAAATGTATTAACCCCATGAACAGTTATTTAATTTTATGAATTTAATAAAAATAAAAAAATAAAATGAATTTTTCGACAATTATATTTTAAAAATCTTGTAAGTAGTGAAGTTAAATTCTTTCCAAGTACTTCTAGTAATAAAATTATTTTACAAAAAAAAAATAGCATTTTAGTAATTTGAGTGTTTGACTGTTTTGTTAAAATAATAACTTAAATGTTTTGATCTTCAAAGAATAATTTTGGTATTATTCAATAAGATTAAAACTCAAAATTGCTGCCTAATTACAAAGGTCTATCTACCTGATATAGTATTTGTTTACAAACTTTTTAACCAAGTTGTTTCGTATATCTAACATGATATATGTTTAATGCAAAAACAAAGTAGGCAAATAATTTTAGGGTTTGAGATGTGTTGCATGTTGTGTGTTGCCCTTCACTTTTTCCTCAAAAAAAGAAATTCATCATTTTTTCATACAATGACAGACAAATTTATAAAAATTGTATTAACTCTTTCGCTACCAGCCATTTTAATAAAAATCTTTTAGCTGCAACTAAACATTTTTTTGGATTAAATTTGGATGACATAACATTGATAACTAGTTAAAATTCAAATAGTAAATCTCTTTGAAAGCATAACAAACTATATATCAATAGAAAGGTAAACAAATAAACTTTTTAATCAAATAAGTTTTTCACATGCATTGTTTAACAACAAGAAATTCAAGGTTCCTAAAACCATTGTTTTTATAAGTAGCCAAAATATTAGATCCAAAACAAAACTCCTTTAATGTGTAATAAGAATGTTTTACTTTAAAAGACTTTTGTAATTACTAAATACTTATACACTTCTACAAGTTAAATTTTACAGTGTTAACACTGCTTTAACTAAATTTAAATTTATTTTTTTATCAAGAATTTTTTAACTTTGTCAAGTGATAACTTATAAAATACAAATATAGCTTATATTTGTTCTTGATTATGTAGAGAATTTATTAAACTTTAAGAATAAACAAATTATGTGTCCAGAATGAAAGTTCATATACAAAAAAAGATAAGTTGTGAAGCATTCTCTAAAGCCACTAATAACAGCTTTTTAGGGTATAAAAAAATAAGAGTTGTTTAGTATTCATAAAAGCACAAGCAAAGTCCTTGGGTTGAGTCAAAATGGTTCAAAGATCAATATTTTATGTTACATTAATTTAACATTTACACTAAGCTAATAAGAGCATAAGTTCATTAAGTACCCAAAGGATGAGGAGCTTCTCTGTCTGTTACTTTAGTTTGATCTGCCACAATTGTGAAAATAAGTGCGATTTTATTATGGTTTGAATGACGATGGTAAACATGGCTCTTTCTTACTTTTTGTATGTCTCAATGTTATTGCTCAACAATAATGGTACCTTTCGGGTTAGACCTTTCTTTTACAAAACTGCTTGCAAAACTAGTTGAGTAAAACATTTTTGAACATAAAGATTAAAAATGATGCAACTTAGCTGAGTGATTAGTCACACATCATCAAAGATGGCCTAAATATCACATCAGTGTTTCATACAAAGAGATTTATAAAGAGATTAATAAAGACAAAAAATAGAATTGGAAGTAAGAAAATAGTAAGCATAACTTTAGCAGTTCCATGAGTTAACCTTAGCAGCGTCATGAATTAACTTTAACAGTTCCATGAGTTAACCTTAGCAGAATTAAGAGTTAACGTTAACAGAGCCATAAGTTAACCTTAGCAGCGCCATGAGTTAACCTTAACAGTGCCATGAGTTAACCTTAACAATTCTATGAATTAACCTTAGTAGCGCTAAGAGTTAACCTTAGCAGCGCTAAGAGTTAACCTTAGCAGCGCTAAGAGTTAACCTTAGCAGCGCTAAGGTTAACTCTTAGCGCTATAAATGTAAGTTGTAATGGATTTAAATCAATGCTCTGTGCAGGTCCTTTTATCCTTTTAAACAATTTTCATCAAAAAAAAAGCTTTAGTTTTTTGGCAGTGTTTTTTGCAAATAATATTTTACTCCTATGCATTACAAGGTAGCATTTATAGTTTCATAGATAAGTTCTAATTTATCAACATTTCATAGCATAAAATGGTGTTGGTAAGTTGATAGGCTTGGGAACTTGGAGAGAGTTGGTTAGAGAGACAAAACATTTTGGTTAGTTAGAGATGGCAAAACAATTTCACTCTTTTAGTTAAAAAAAATCTTTCTTATCTATTTAATTTTATTCAGGTTTTGCTTTTTAATATATAATTATATATACTTTTTAAATGTCAATGTAGTACTCCCTTGCATGTTCTCCCTATATCACGTGTTGTATGTACTAAAGTACATACAACTCCCTAAATCAGTACAATGTCAAAGTGTTGAATAAAAAAGTAATTTTATAGTACATATGTGGCACTATGCATTAGCGTCCGAAAATTTGTGGACAAAAAAGTTTGACTTTTACTAATATTTCAGCATCTACTTTATTTTTAGGTTGTCCTTTTTTTTTATTACCATATTCAGTAATTTATTTAATTTATGTAATTTGTTCAGGATGATGATAATTGGGATAATGAAGTTGAAAATAATAGTGTGTATAGTTTGGATGGGGATGAAGAAGAGTGGGAAACTGCTAGTGATGCAAGTGATGCAACATTTGAAACAGTTTATGACAATATAAACCCTCTTGAAGATATAATAATGCGCTCATTGGCTTCACTTAATACAACAAGTTCTAGCAACAACCCACATGTTGGATCAGTAGACAGTGTTATAGGTAAGACCACATAAACACAAGTATATTATCAAGAAAAAAATTTTTAATTGTTCTTTTATATTATCATGGTCTTGACATTAAACTGATTCTTTATTGGGTAATAAGTTTTTTCTCTTTATTTATGGTAAAAATTCTGATGTAAAGCTTTTAATTTTATTTTATTTTATTACCTTAATTTTCAATTTTATTACCTAAATTTTTATTATTTTAATTTTATTACCTTTGATGGTAATCTTTCCACTGATAATATTACAATAAAAATACTCCTTATTTTCAAAATAGATAATGCTAAGAAGGCTACCTAGTTTTAAGAAATGCCTACTCTAACTTCATATTTAGATTTAAAAATGGCATAATGAAAGCTCTTCATAACTACACAAGTGTGGGACCATGAACGTTAAACTTAAAAAAAAAATTGTGTTATTAACAAAATACAATTTAAAAAATATAAAATATTTGTTCCTTTTTTTTTGTTGCTGAAAATATAATATAAATTGAACATAATTAGATATGAGTGCTGTATGTATGTATGTGTTTGTTGCATCAAATTTGCCAAAGTGAAAACAAAGAGTTTGTAAAAGTAGCAAATGTTTTTTTTGTGAAAAAAATAATAAAACAAGAATTTTAACATAAGTTAAAAAAACACGAAAAAAGATTTTGTGAAACAAGAAGGAAAACCTTGTTTGATAATATTATGTAATTTATTTTGTATTATTATTATTTATCTTATATTATGTGATATTATTATGTAAAGATTTTTTAACTCCATATATTTTACAATTGGATAACATATAAGAGTTTACAAGTTATTCAATAGTTAAGATTGCTCTGTTACAATTAGATGTTAAATAATGACAGGCCCAGTGTCAAGGTTCTATGGTGTAAAATAACTAAGTTGAGTTTTAATTTAATTGGAGGTTTGCAAATTCATTAATTATTTCAGAATAGTTTAAATTACATACCATATATATATGTATATATATATATATATATATATATATATATATATATATATATATATATATATATATATATATATATATATATATTCACACATATAATTGGAGATCAAAGCGATCAACTCCTTCCAAGAAATTGAAAATGACTCCAGAGTTGGTTTGTGCATTGGACCGTAACAACATTTCGGACCGGCGTGCTATTCACATTTTGAATGCCTCAGCAGCAACACCTCTTAGCAACAGATCAATCTCCTGGAGCTAAGTTCGGCGTGCTAGAATACATAGCAGGGCCATCACAGCAGCCACTGTTAGGGATTCCTTCATCAATGAAGTTCAACAGAAGGATACCTTTTTAGTATTACACTGGGATGGCAAGTTGCTCCCAGACTGTACAGGAAATGGAGATGGCTTAAAGGTGGATTGTTTGCCAATTCTTGTTTCAAGCCCAGATATTGAAGTCGAGAAACTGCTGGCAATACCAAAGTTATCGAGTACTGGAGCTGCCATGGCCAAGGCAACTGTCAGGATTGTTTGAGAGTGGAAACTCGAAGAAAGAATTGAAGCTCTTTCCTTTGACACAACATCATCGAACACTGGGATTTATGCTGGTTGTTGCCAATTAATAGAGGTACAATTGGGCAGACCTCTGATGCATCTTGTATGCAGACATCACATTATAGAGCTGAGTTTAGCTACAGCCTTCAAATCAGTAATGGCTGCATCATCTGAACCAGATATTCAGCTATTCAAACGTTTTCGAGAACAATGGTCCTTTATCTCAAAAGATGAAATAAGTGCTTTCAAGGATCCGAGAGTAGATGAGCATAAAGATTGGAAAGATGCTACCATAACCTCCATGCAGTCTAGCTTGGCTCGAAAGAGTATAGGTGATGATTATGCCAAACTGTGTCAACTGTCATTGTATTTTCTGACGGGAGAATTATGTGCTCCAATCAGGAAGCCTGGTACATACCATCACGCCAGGTGGATGGCCAACGCTATCTATGTGATGAAAATCTTGTTGTTCCGGAAACAAATAAAACTGACAAAAAGTGAGGAAACTGGTCTACATGAAGTGTCTCTCTTCATTATCTTGATTTACTCTAGAGTCTGGATAGAGGCTCCTCGAGATTGTGAGGCGGTCGTCAATGATAAGGCTCTTTTAAATGATTTGGTCAGCTACAACAATGTGAACGAGAAGATTGCAAAAGCCACATTAACAACTTTTCTATGCCATCTATGGTATCTAGGTGGTGACCTTGTTGGCTTTTCATTTTTTTCCAACAAGTTGTCTACTGATGAAAAAGAGGATATTGTTAGAGAAATGAAGAATGAGTAGAATATGGATTGAATTAAGTGGGTTCCAAAAAAAGGAGATGAAATGACAATGAACCTCAGTGATATTGCTTCTTCCGCATCCTTGCGATTTTTAAAATCTTTCAGAATCAATGAAACCTTCTTGGATTTACCTCCTGACCAATGGGATGTTGATGAAAGTTTACAGGAAGGGCGCAGAAAGCTTGAAAAACTGAAAATTGTAAATGATGGGGCAGAGAGGGGAGTTGCAATGATTTCCATTTTCAATGATTCTTTGACAAGGGACAAAGAGACAAAGCAAGCACTACTACAAGTTGTAGACCATCATTGTTGTCTCCACCCCCTCAAATGACTTTTCTGACATTAATGTATCAATAATAAGGACAAATCTGTTATTCTATTATTGTATGGTTCAGGTTTTGTCACCTCACCTAAAAACAAAGCTGAATTGTTTGCTTAGAACTTTTTATCAATATCATCTCTTAATTCCACTAGTTGCGTTCTACCTGATATAGCTGACAAATAGCTTGATCCATTGCTTGACATCTGTATCACTCCAGCTTCTGTATCTAAAGTGATTTCATGCTTCTCTTCTAAAGCTTGTAGTCCAGACAACATACTTGTTATAGTCTTGCAGAAGTGTACCCCAGAGCGGTCATCTATACTTTCAAAACTTTTTAACAAGTGCTTGTCAGAGTCTTGTTTTCCAGCCTGCTGGAAAGGGGCATCTGTTAGGCATCTGGGCAATTGTTGTCTATTTCACAATAAAGGTGCTTGGGATGATTGTAGCTTGGTGGGATTTTAGTTAGAGCAGCATAGCAATGAGTTAATGTTGTACTCAATTTTATATTTTTGGATGAGGTCTTTGTGTAAACGTCTATCAATTAGTGAGGTGAGTCCGAATTTGATACATCTTGTCTCATAGTTGAAACGCTTTTGTGTGTTACTTTAGCAGCCTAATGTTGGATGTCTATGCCTTTGGTAGCCTAATGTGTTCTATAGTATTTGTCTTTTTTAAGGTATAGACTCCAACCGGTAATTGCAAACTGAAAGTGTTGGCGTATATAGGTGGTGTAAAGCTTTTTCCATATTTAGGTGTCTCTGCAGATAAAAGTGTTTTTCAAGATTCCAAGGACATTATTAGCCTTGGCAGCTGCAATTTTGGCTTGATTGTCATGCCTTAAGATGATGGTAATTTAAACGCCTAGGCCTTTTTCTGATGTTGTTGACTTGAGTTTGGTTCTGTTGATTTTGCTGTTAGCGTTATACTTGTTCATTAAGTAAACATGTGGCAAAACATTGTATTTGTTGATGTACATAACATTGCATTGAGCATTTGATAACGTTGACCTCCATCAACCAGGTTGAGTCCAGGTTACAATGCTATCCATATCAGCTTGCAGACGAGATTTGTCTTCAAGGTAAGTTGTTGATAAATATTATTAAGAGCGTAGGACCAAGCACTAAACCTTGCAGAACACCACTGGTGACTTGTTACCAATTGTATTTTATTTCAAATAGATAATTGTTGTTATCTAATTGAAAGAAAAGCTTTAATCTAGTCAAGAATTTTAGCTTCAGTTCCATAGGATTCAAGTTTTTGTAATAGTCTTTTGTGAGGGACTTTGTCGAAAGCTTTGCAGAGTCAAGAAAGAGCACGTCTACTGGAAGTTAATGAGATATGCTGTAGGTTAGAAAGTCCATGGTCTTGAGCAGATACATGATGCAGACTTTTTTATTGATGAAGCCCTGTTGACAATCAGCAATAAGTTTGTTAGCTACAAGGTGCTCCATGATGTTGTCTTGTACCTTTTTTTCCATTATTTTGCATGGTATAGAGGTGATGGAGATTGGCCTGTAATTTGCTAGGTTAAGTCTGGAGCCTTTTTTGAACAGTGGTGTTACCTATGCCAAGAGCTACAACTTTTGGGCTACACTTTGATCTAAAGATTTCTGTAAAATAATGGCAAGTGGGGCAGCTGCAGATAAATGATTGTGAATGCAATCACAGTGAAGATAACAGAGGAGATTATAGCGATTGTGCGTTTGATGAAGGGTGGTAAAGATTGATCTGACAGTTCAACTGTGAATACAGATTGCAACTGATTGTTTAGTATTTAGCAATGAATGCTTGGTCGCTGCTTATTTACCCAGAGGGTGAGCACATAGAAGTTATTTAATTGCTGGCAGTGTGTTTGCTATTATCATAGGTGTAGAGACGTTTAGTGTTCTATTTATTGTTGGTTATTTTGTGTGCATGAAAATTTATTGTTGCTATTTTGTGTGCACTCAAAACCCTGTCAAAATGCCGGAAGCTATTTTGCCAGGGTTTCGAGTGAGATTGTACTCTCTAAAAAAATGAACAATTTGCCATTTTCTGTTGTGGTTAAGGTACCAAAGTTTTTTTTTTTTTTTTTTGAGTTAGGTTAACGAGAGAAATTTGCTAGCCAGCCAAGGCTGTCTGCGTTTGGTTGGTTTAAAGAAGACGCGCGGAATGAATTTGTGGTTGCATTCAATAAGGTTGTTGTAGAAGATTTGGTAGCATTCATCAGCATATTGATCTTTAAATAGATTTACCCAATCAACTTGGAATAGTTTCTCTCTTAGTTTGGAGTAGTTAAATTTTCTTATAAATAAATTTCGAGCTGATAAAACAGGGAGAGTTGTAAGTATTTTTGGCTATTTGGTGTTGCCATGTCAGAGAACTGTTGCCTTGTACCAAGCGGAGGACTAATATCAATGTTGCTTATTTGATCAGCTGTTTCCCTAATTATGAGGTCTGCCATGTTTTTGAATAGACCATTGACTTGGATGAAGGTGGGATCAATAATGTGCTGGTGTAGATGTAGGTGGAATAGAATTTTGGCAACTTTTGTGCCTAAACTAGTTTTTGCACTACATTTATTGATCCAATGGTCATGCCATTTAACGTCTGGGAAATCTAAGTCACCGGTGTATATTAAACTGTTAAACTTTTTATTGACCATGTCATGGTCACTTGCATGGTAGATGTTTTACTATTTCATCTAAGTCCAAAGTGTTGTTGGTTGATAGGCAATAAATACAGCCAATTAGGAAAGATTTTTGTGGAAGTAAAATATAAAATAAAAGTTCGAAGCGGAGCTGTTCCAAGATTTCTTATTGAAAATCATTGTGTAATTAAGAATGGTCAGTTTTGCTTGCGTTAATACTGTTCTTAACATAAATTTCTACACCTCTTCCATGACTACAACGATTTTTCTATAGATGTTCAAGTTTGGAAGAGCAGATGTTGAGGATTTATCAAGTCAAGTTTCAGTGGTAAAAATGATATCATAGTTGTAGTGGCACATTGCAAATACAACTTTGGTTAGTTTATTGGGGTGTATAATTGTGGCGTTGGTGTAGAAGCAGTTTAGTGATGGTATAAAAACACTGTTTTGTGAAGATGGTGAAGGCAAGTTATTGATTGTGGAAAAACAGTCATGTGTTGGATATTGCAGTTTTTGCCATATTGGTTTGGGCTGCTGCAAGTGCTTATTTCCAGTTGATCAATAGGTGTTTTTCCAAGTTGTTGTAGAAATCAATAAACTTCTCTGTAAATGACAAAACAAAAGGACTGGTCAAGTTCAAGCTCTTGCTCTGAGGGAGATTTATTAAAAAATTGTTGCTGCGCTCTACTTGCGTTATAAGAAAAAGTTCAACTTACGTTTTGTGCAAATTTTTGATACAGTCTCGGAATACTTTTATTTAAAATTTATTTTTGAGTAAAAAAAATGTTTTGAAAGGAAAACTAAAAAAACAATTGCGATAAAAATGTGCTAATTTTTAGTAATATTTTTAAATAAATTTGACAGTTAAGTTAATATCTTTTTTTAAGTCAGAATTAAGATATATAAATATATTTTTTTAAATCAAAATTAATTTTTTTTTTTTTTTGTTAGAATGAAGTTATATATTTTTATTAAATTAGTTTAAAATTAAATCATATATTTTTTTTAAATATAATAATCAGAATTAAATTATATTATAATGATCTTTGCTTTAAGCTTAGGGATCGTCTATAAATTACGCAATGTAAAACTTATTTTAAACATAAGTAGGAGATCATTTTGCTCTTTCGCTTTAGTTTGTTTATATACTTTTAGTTAAAGTTAAGTTTAGTTAGTTAGGTTTAGTTAAAGAGTCTGCGAGGGAAAACTCTTAATCCTTTGTCTTTTGTTTATATGTTTAATTTTGCGTTACATAATTTATGGAAGATCCTATAAAGTATTGGCATTTTTCAAGGGAAAAATTCGATCAGTACAATAAAAAAAAAATTTTTCTATTGCAATCAAAAGTTGCATAAATATTTTTGTACTTGCAAGATGATAAATAAAAGTTTTTATTATATATATTTCTTATATGGTTTTTTTTTTTTTTTTTCGTTTATTAACTTCGTATAAAAAAAAAAAAAATTGTCGTTAACTATAAACAATTTTGCTTAACTTTAAACAATTTTGTTTACTGTTGCTAAATATTTTAATAAAATAATTAGCTTGGTAGAGATAAAGTTTTCGTAATTTTTAATTTTATTTGAGTTTTTTTTATTAATAAATAGCGGTTCTATCGCACATAATTATCATTCAATCTTTTGTAACAAACTTTTTTACATAATCATCATTCAAAAGTGTGGTTTTTTATAAATTAGTTACTTCTTTTATCTTACCGCTTATAGAATAATTTAAAAGTTAAAAAAGATAAAAAGTTGCTTAATGGAAATTGCTCTAGGCTTACATAACGCATATGTTAATTGCCGGCAGCTTAATGCTTTAAAACAAGACCCGTATAATATATATATTTTTGTGTATATATATATCTTATACTGCTGATTTAGGTGGGATGTGTGACATCATACTGAAATAGCCTGCTGCTGAGGGTTTCAGTACATACATCGACTGACAAATAGTCTGACTTGCAGTGGAGTGCTGCTACATAGCCTAAGGGTTTTGGGATGGGTCAGCAACCTTTTCATTCATTATTAATCGTTTTCTCTCTTTGTTTTCTAAAAAACCTATTACGATTTAGAAGAGCAAAAAAAGTATGTGTGTGTGTGAATAAATTACGTCTAAATTATATATCATATATAAATTACTTGATGAGTTATAGGGTTGAATCAAAGAACAGCTGATTATCTGAACAAGCTTAGTCAACAATTTGCTCGAGAAAGTTCTGTTGATAGTACTACCACTGAAAATTCTACAAAATGTATTTCAGAAGATGTTCAAACATTAGATGTTGAGTCTGTATTTTTACAAAATAATCAAACATTCAATCAAACTATTAACGGTAATTTTGTGTACTTTATTAATAAATAAAACTAAAGTTGTTTAATAAGTGCTTGATTGAATTTTGTTTTTCTGCCTGCTGGAAAATCTGTAGTTTAAAACTCTGATCCAGAATTTTTCCTGACTCACAGGAAACACACCGTTTCACAGGAAGATCTGCAATTGCACGTCATTATATGACCAGGCAAGTCACATTTTGTTTTGACAATTTGACATTTCAAAAATGCACAGAATAAAAGTATTCTGATTTATACCTTAGGTGAAATAAATTACATCGAAACTTCTTAACAAACTGTTTTTATAAACAATGACTTTCTAAAACAACAAAAGTCTCTATGACAAATTATGATATAAGATTCATTGAAGTACATTTAAAAAAATAAATCATTGAAAATAAAAGACAAATGTTTTTGAAAGTTTTAATAATACATTTAAATAAGTTTGATCTTTAATGCTTTTATATTATTGAAACGCTTTTTATTGAAGTAACAAAACACTTCTAATGTGTTTTTATATTAAGTATTAATAAACTGTTTTTTTATTTTAATTTTTTATTTGTACAATTATGTATTTTTTATGATAAATGTTAATATTTTGAAACAAATTTAAAAAAAAACAAAGTTTTTATATTAAGTATTAATAAACTGTTTTTTATTTTTATTTTTTATTTGTACAATTATGCATTTTTTATGATGAATATTAATATTTTGAAACAAATTAAAAAAAAAAAATACAAATGTTAAAACAAAGAATGAAATGTTTTTTTAATGTGTAATTATTTACTAGTTTACATGATATTTTTAAACTAGTAAAAAAAAAAAAACACTATAATTTAAATAAAGTGTGAGTATTTTTTAAATAATCATTAAAAGTAAATTTTTCTTTTTATCTTAAGGGTTTCCGTAAATATTATTTAAGCATTGATAATGATAAAAAATTATTCCAAACATAAATAAATTTATTTATGTTTGGAATAATTTTTCAAACATAAATAAATTATGTTTGGAAAATATCTGTCAAAAATTGTCAAAACATAATATTTTTTGCGTGGTCATGTAATTGTGTGCAATCGCACATCTTCCTGTAAAACACTGTGACTCATATAATGTACAACCTACTTTTTATGTCTTCAGCTAATCTTTTCTTTGGTCTTTAACCCTATTCTTTGATTTCTAGTTACTCCCAACTTGATAGTGGTTGCTTGCAAGCCTTATTGAGAGTGAATTAAAATAAATAAATAAAATTAATAATTTAATTTATATATTTGTATATTTTTTTAGGTTTTTCTTCAGTAGAGTGTGTTCCTTCGTGCCACCATTTCTTCAACAATGTTCTTGTTCCAACAAATACTCGTACATTTAATGCAGCTGTCCTAAAAGAAGTTAAAATGATTAAAGCGCACTTGCCTTCTGGTATTGTTGTAAAAAGTTTTGATGATAGAATGGTGTGTATTTGCTTTAAAGTTTAAACTCGGTTTCTTACATATTACAAACTTATTATTACCAAATGAATATATTCTATAATTGTTGAATACATGAAATAAAAAAAAAAATATTATAATTAGATAAAAACTTAACTTCCATTTATAGGATTTGTTCAGTGTATTAATATACGGCCCAAGTGGTACACCTTATGAAGGTGGCATTTTTTATTTTGATATGCAACTTCCTGAGAATTATCCAAATGTTCCCCCACTTGTTCATTACCATTCTTACTGCACAGAAAGACTAAATCCAAACCTCTATGAAGAAGGAAAAGTTTGTGTCAGTCTTTTGGGGACTTGGTCAGGAAAAGGAAGTGAAACCTGGACATCTAAATCATCACTTCGTCAGTTATTGCTATCTATACAAGGTATTTAATAAACTAAGCTAATTTATTTCAAAATTCAATTAAAGTCTGATACTTTTGATGTGCTGAACTTTTTTTAAAGTTTTTTTAATTATTTGTTCAATTGTTTATTTAATTATTTAATTGTTTGTTGTAATTAATTATTTAAGTTATTTTTTATACATTAGATTAATACATTAAATTATTCTTTATTGTTATTAATTATTTAAATTATTCTTTTTAGGACTAATTTTGTGTGAAGAGCCTTATTATAATGAAGCTGGGTATGAAAAGCAGAGGGGAACTGATGAGGGCAAAGAAAATAGTCGCATGTATAATGAGATGGCTGTAATAAAAAATATGCAAAGTATATTACGGTTAACTGCAAGACCCCCTGAAATATTTCTAAATGAAGTGACAAGTTATTTTCAAGAAAATCTTCCACGGTACATTTTACTTTTTTATGATTGTTGCTAACATCTGTAAATATGTATCTAGAATGATGGTACTGTCATGAGTTTATTTATTGTTGAATTAAAAAATTACTGATCTGGATTACTAAGTGATGTAATCTGCAATTTTAAAAAGTTCATCAATACTTTATACTATATATATCACAATACATCTGCAGCTTTTTTTCAAAACATCCTAAGTTGAAAAAACTTAAGGTTGACTTTTTATAAAGTATGCTAATTTAGATGGTTATAAATGTTGTTGAATAGATATATTTGAAGAAATATAAAGAAATTCATAAAAACCATTAGTTTTAAAAAGGTTTTGCAAAGAATTTTTGGTATTTTTTTTTTATTTTCCTTTTTTTTAAAATACTTAAAAAGCAAGTTAAGGTGTTTTGAAAAAAACCTGTAGACACATACACATAGGTTTGGGTTCTTTTTTTAAATTAAATCTCTTAATAAAAATAAATTGTTTTTTTTATTTCTAAATTAAATAATATATTCATATTCTTTATTCGATTTTATTTATTTTTTATTTTAAAAAAAAGCTACCATTTTTAAACAAAAGAACAACTTGAGAATCCCAGTTGATTTTTGAAACAAATATTTTTACTTATTCATAAGAGCATGCAGTTAATCTTTGAGATGAACATTTTTCAAAAGGTTTTTAAAACCAATAATTTTTTCATTACTTTAAGTAAAATTTCACCCATTTTTTACAAGAATCTGGTTTTATAAAGCCCCCGCAAAATTAAAAAATTTAGCAGGGGTTGATAGCTGGGGCTAGGAAAAAATTTAGAACAATTTATATATTATAAATTTATGTGTACATTTGCTATTTTTTAGTGGTATATATATATATATATATATATATATATATATATATATATATATATATATATATATATATATATATATATATTAAACTAATTAACTTCTATCAAGGTTATTAGCAACCACTATTAAACTATGAGTTACTTGTAAACAAACAATATTGTAGTAGAGCAAGTAAACGGTTAAATGAAAACATATATTGTTGTAGGTTTTATGAGTCAAAAAAACATGAACATGGGTGAAAGTTTTAAGGTTTTTTTGATGTGCGTGGATAAAAATTAGATAAATAAATGTTGTTATAGCATGAAGAGACAAATACAGTTGAAGGATGCGACTTTACTGAATGACAAGCCAAGTGAGAATGAGTTTTGGTTGATTGAGTTTGAGATGATAGCTCATTTGAGCAAAACCATGGTAATATTTGTAAAAATAAGAAAGCAACTTAACGACAATGAGAGAGTGACTCAAACTTGGTACATAAAGTAGGTCCAATAACATTTACAATTTAAATTTAGATCTTGTCTGATAGTGAGAGGGTTGTTATTCGTCAATAAAGGAATGTAAAAAATATTGTGTAATTTAAATGTATGCTTTCATTTTAAAGTAAATGTTTCCTTTCATTTTAAAATGAATGTATGCTTTCATTTTAAAGTAAGTGTTTGCTTTCATTTTAAAATAAGTATTTGCTTTTATTTTGAAGTAAATGTTTGCTTTCATTTTAAAGTAAATATTTGCTTTCATTTTGAAATAAATGTATGCTTTCATTTTAAAGTAAATGTATGCTTTCATTTTAAATTAAATGTTTGCTTTCATTTTTAAGTGTTACTTATAATAAAAACTAATATTTTTGTCTATTTGAGTTTAAAGTTGCAATTTTTATTGTAGCCATGTTAAAATTTAATGTAGTTTGATTAATTTCTGTTTCTAACTTAATAAAACAGTTTTCATGCTAATTGTATTTTATAATACATAATACATTATTGCTACAATTCAAAGGATTCAATGACTATTTATTCTTTACATTCATTATTTTATTTTTTCATTTTTATTCATTATTATTTCCACAGTTTTCACATTAAGATTTATATTTTGAATTATGTTTGTCAAATATTGAAATGTTTAAGATTTATTAAATCATCAAAACTTCCATGCGTCATACAATATTTAAAATGAAATTGGGCAGTTTTCAATTGACATTGCTTTTTTACGGAAAACAGAATTAAACATAAAACAACACTGTTGTTACAGTGCTATAGGACAGATACAGTTGAAAGATGCAACTTTACTGGATGACAAGCCAAGATATAAAGAGTTTTGGTTGATCTAGATAGAGATGATAGCTCATTTGAGCATTGTATTTGTAGAAAAAAGAAAGAGATGCAGCCTTATGAAAATCTTTGTTGTAAGGTTGAGATGCTAAATTCTTATTTTTCATCTCATGACATCAAATTATTTTATTTTAATAAATTCTCATTGATTACCTGAATAATTATTTGGATTACTAGAAAAACCATCAAATTAAATAACACAATGATAACTCATTAACATGTATTAGACAGCCATTTAAATGAACTCTTCTTTTCAACATATGCTCAAGACAAGCCACTAAACAACTCTTTACCTAAATAATATAGTAATATGAAAATATATAACTTAAAAATTTATATATAATCTTTTTATATTTTAAGTCGGATGCTTTAGGGGGAAAAATCGGGGGAAAAGATATCTGTACTAACATTTGTGTTGTCTAAATTGTGTTGCCTTGATACATTCATCACTCTTAAACTCCTGGAGGACATTACAGGTAATATTTAGTTCCAATTTTTTTCTTTGGACTTAAATATCTTTTCTGCTTCCAAATCTCTTCCTTAGAAACTTAAATAGTTTTTTGCATTTTTAAATATGATTTTAAATTAACTTACAGCGGAATACATAATATTAATTATATAAAAAATTTAAACAAATCTATCAGATAAAAATTAAAAAAGTTATGTAAAGTTCATTTTACTTTTTTCAGAAAAAAAGTAAGTTTTTTCAACTTTCTTTTTTTCTGTGAATACAGAAAAGATGCATATTTGAACAACCTGAGCATTTGGTATTCTTGCCCTCACAGGAAAGAGCCTTCCATTCCAAGAAACAGCATTGTTATAAAATTTCAACAGTTTAACAACCAAGTTTTACCAACCAAGTTTTACAGTTTTAACAACCAAGTTTTACCAACCAAGTTTTACCTTTTTTCAGGTAACAAAAGCAATATGGAATTGCAGTTGAACCAAGTTTCATTTAAACAAAACGTTCTTTGAGTAATATTATTTTTTACCTTCTAAATCTCTCAACTTTATAAGTTGATAAGCGGTTGTTTAAAGTTAAAATTTTAAATTCTTCTTTTTAAAAATCTTCTTTTGAAAATTCTTTTTAAAATAAAGTAGCTTCTAATAATCTTTAGAACTCTTTTTACCAAAAGTTTTTTTTTTGGAAACTAATTACTCCAGCTTGAAGTAATAAGTAAAAACTAATAACCCTATCTTGAAGTAATTCCTAGAAATTGCTGGTGCTTTCTCATGAGCCACGGGCTGCCGACCCCTGATATTCAGGTAAAATGAGAATTTTGAGATTGAGAATTTTAAACTAGTAGCTCCAGTGATTCCCAATAACTCGTGAGGTGCCACAGTGTTCTTGACTTAATGGCTTCTTGGTTTTTGCACTTTTGTCAGGCATTTTTATACTTATCAAATTGCTGTCAAATGCCATCCTCCTTTAAGTTGACAGTTAAAGCTGTTTACTAATCGCACAAGTGCCAGTTGCCTTTTAACATTTATAAAAACAGAGTACATCACCATGTTGGACTTGGTGATGTACTCTGTTTAATAACAACAAGTCAACATTGTGTATAAGTATTCACAATGACACAATTAGATAAAATACATTGTACACCTAAAAAATCTTTGCGAACGAGCAGTTAATTCATCTTATAACTATGTTAACCAGCTGCCTTGTTTGCAGCTTATTTTTGTCACCATAGAAATGATGCAGCTCTTGTTTCTCATTTAAGATATTTTATGGTGTTTATATTCTTATATCTAATATGAATTTGCCAAGACTTTTTTTTTTTTTTTGTATTTGTAATAATATAAACTTTATCATGGAAATAAATTGAATTTATGTATGTATGTATGTATGTATATATATATATATATATATATATATATATATATATATATATATATATATATATATATATGCAAAGTATATGTAATGATAATATATATACAATACAGTTGATGTATTGTATATATATATATTAGTAAAATGTACAGTTTTCTCCTTACCCTCATAGGAATGTTCTATCAGTATTTACTAGAAAATACAATTAGTTTTAAGTTCAATTGAATTAATTTAACACTCTAAAAACTCTATAGACGTTATGCTCAGGTTATTCGTTTTAATAATCTGCGCCTCAAAACGATATAAAACGATAATTATTGTATCGTACAGTATCAAACCGAGCCTCCTAGAAGATACGTGCAAAAGCAGATGTTAAAATTTAATAATAAAAAGTTTTGTTTGCTTTTTTTTTAGAATCATCAAAAAATGCGAAAATTGGTTAAACAGTTCTGATTTTCCACCAGCATTTCCTCTTTTTCCATTATCCAAAGGTTTTTGTGCAACACTGTCGCGAATTTTAGAACAACTTCGTGAAAATTATTCCAACAGCAAAACAGTCGTCAATTGAAATTTCTTATTCCTTTAATAATTGAAAAAATAAAAACGAAGTAAAATTTTTTTGTTTGAGAGAATTATTTTTTGCGCAGTCCTAAAGATTGTTGTAAAATTCATCGAATTATGGTGGACATTTTTTGTAATAATTTCAAAGTATTTATTTTTAAAAAATATATATATATATTTGTATAAGATGTTGAATATAACATAAAAATTTTTGTGTCATTCTTAACTTCTTCTTTAACTTAAATAGTATTTTTTTTTAAAGTGTGTTAAACCTGTTAAATGTTATCAATATTATCTGCATCATTTCTATTCTTAACTTCTTCTTTAACTTAAATAGTATTTTTTTTAAAGTGTGTTAAACCTGTTAAATGTTATCAATATTATCAAAAACGTAAAAACAAGTAAATTTATCCAGGGATTATCTTTTTCCGGATATTTCCGGAATTCCGGATATTTTTCTTAACTTTCAGTTTTTCCGGATATTCAAAATGTTTTCTATACATACAAGTTTAGGTATATATTTTTGTTATATATTTGTTTTTTAAGCTTTTTCACTAATCAATCATACAAAAATTATAAAAAGTTTGGAAAAAAGTTTGAAACAACTCAGCCAAAAGAAAATTTAGAAGGAAAATTTATTCCGGATTTTGTCAGGATATTCGACCCAACCAAATTTCCGGATTTTTTAAAACATGACCTGGATAATCTATGAATTTATCACTAAAAGTAAAAAATTAGACTTTAAAAAAGGAAAAACATTTGAAAAATGCTCTAGATCTAATGATTATTGTATTTCCAAAAACCTGTTGATTGAAAAACCTGTTGATTTTTAATGTTGATTTAATGTTAGGGAAATGCGTTTGCAAAGTGAAAGTAAGATGGAATACTGATGAAGGAATAATAATTTTAATGTAACAAAGTCCTATAAGCAAAATCTTTAACGATGTAGCTTTTAAATAAACGTAGGGCATATCCATACATTTATGGAAATGTTAATAAAACGTAGCCTTTACAGTAGAAGTATTCGGCACCTTTTATTCGGTGTTAGGCCGAATACCAAATATGAAAAAATGCATAAAAAAGAATTACATATAACTATTATTTTTGTTTTTTATTTTAACAAATAATCAGCACGTTTGATACTTTAAATCTTTAGGTTATGATAAAACTCTATAAATCTATGGGTTATGATAAAACATTTTCATCGTTTGATTGTAGCAATTGGTTGCGAATCCCTCACAAATTATACATTGTCTCAAAAATAGCCGTTCACAATGTACACTGCCACCAGAAAATAATAAGAAATTTTTACCAAGTTCTTTTAAAATTTTTGAGTTTGCTGACCACCACTTGAAAGAGTTTGCTGTCCAATTTAAGCGAAAAGTTTCATTCAAAAACTAATTTTATATGCAATTTGACTTTTCTTTTCCACATCTTCATGTGTGTGCATATTTTTTGGAGGGATTGGCTTGATTGTTTCATTTAAATTTCTTATTCTTACAAAGTGTAGATAAACTGTCACCGGTGCTACTAGACACCGTTGACAGTTTATCTACACTTTGTAAGAATAAGACAGTTTATCTACACTTTGTAAGAATAAGAAAAAACCACAAAAAAAATAAATAAATAACAATTAAAATGAAGAAACTTTTTGTGTTTTATTTAAAATCCTCTTAACCAATCAAACTTAATAGAATATTCTGTTAATTAAAACAAAACTGATCAATTAACTTTTTTATTTTTTTTGTGGTAAAAAGCTCTTGAATCTGAGACATAACACTATTTGAGACATCTGAGACATAACACTATTTGAGACATCTGAGACATAACACTATTTGAGACATCTGAGACATAACACGGTATAACACGGTATATTTTCAGTAGATGTTAAAGTAGTGTTGTTCTTAATCAAATCTTTGATAGTTCAGTCACCGACATAGCAGAGAAGTAAATTTTAAGTTTATAACTTTTATTAACATTAAAAGATTACTTAGGTAGGTACCTCCAGCAGGATATAGTCACCTAAAATCATAGCTAAAAATTATCTGCTATAAGAGGTATTTCGATAAATATATCATCAAATATTTCAAAGAATTACAACAAGTTTTCAGTAGCTTCCGTATTTTGTCACAATCAAGTTATTGCGTATGTAAACACATATAAATAAACATGTAAACAGATATAAACTAAAATAAGTACTGCTACTTTCAAACTGCTACTACCAAAGACTTAGCTAAAGATTTTGATCTTACGCCATAAGTAAATTTTACCTTCTTTAAAAGTCAAAAAAAAAAAATCTTAAAAAGCTACATCTAATGATAACAACTTATCAGAAGTACTTCATATAAGCTCTTTTTAGTTGTCTAAAGTTTCAGACAAATATTAAAAAGATATCTGACCTCAGCAATGAAACCAAAAATAATTTAAAAAGAAACTTTGAAAGAGACAACGTAAAGCTTGCAAAGAGGTCTAAAGCTGTTGTCCCAGATCAGAGAGAGGGCGTCAATTGTTTTAAATAGATCTTTGAAAACTTTAGACAATGATGCGGTACCTGAAGATTGTTTTTTGATATGTTGTTTAAATGCATTATCTTGTCAGTAATTAATAGACCTATTTGGGTATTTAAAACCCTCAAAAACTGCAATTGACGATATACTTATAAACAATTATTTAGAAAAGTCATTTCAGTCAGGCATTTTTATAACAGATATAAGCGATCCACATCACCGGAAAAAAATTTTAAGAATACTCAGCCAAATTTTACAAATTTAAAAAAAAAAACTAACTTAACTATTACTAATACAAATGATCAAATAAATTAAATAAAGAAAATTGGATGTCTATAATTGTTTTGTGTGATTTCTATAATTCTATAATAAATTTTACCCATTCCGCAAAAAATCGCAATGAACACCTACAAATACAAATAACCAAAACATAAATTATTCTTGCAAAAATTATTTATGCATAAACAAAATGAAACGGTCCAATTTAAAGCTAGTTCTTTTTTCACAAAGCTTGATAAAATATAAATGAAAAATTTAAACATTTTTAATATTTATTGGTTATTACAAAAAATATATCTATCAAACTATTCTTTCAACTATCCTTTGTAAGCAAGTACGATATCGGGCTCTATGAAACTTATGGAATTAATAAACTAGGCAATAAAGATAAGTATGATTTACTAAAAAATGTTTATAAACCAAGCTCTAGTTTTCAATTTGAATCCAATAAATCAGGTCGTTCCTTCAGGTCGTTCCTTCAGGTCGTTCCTTCAGGTTGTTCCTTCAGGTCGTTCCTTCAGGTCGTTCCTTCAGGTCGTTCCTTCAGGTCGTTCCTTCAGGTCGTTCCTTCAGGTTGTTCCTTCAGGTCGTTCCTTTCAATTCTCTTGGCTTTCATTATACTCTCGGCTTGCATATTCAGAAATTAAAAAAGGTGCTTATTGTGTTAATTGTGTTATTTTTGGATCTGAAGAATCAATTCATAATGTAAGTAAATTTGTTCAGCTTTATAAATCTTTATTTGTGGCATATTCAAGTTTAATAAACATTTAATAAAAAGCTGAAAGTTCACCAAGTCACCAAACTGCAACTCTAAAGGCAACTCATTTTCGCCAATGTATGGAGCAAAAGATAAATTTTATTGACTTGAATCTCAACAAAGTAATTGATGAACAAGTCAAGAAAAAATAGAGAAATATTAAAACCAATAGTTCTGGCAATTATTATGTGTGGAAAATAAATCATACCTCTTCGAGGTCACAGAGATAATTCATTTTACTATGAGAATGAAAATAGTAACTCTGGCAATCTTCAATCAATTTTGAAATTAATACCTGATTGTGCAGAAAACAGTTTAGTGAATGGGCGAATTGCTACTCCAAAAAATGCTACATATCGCTCTAAAACTACTCAAAATGAGTTGATTACTATTTGTAATGACATTTTAGTTTCTAAATTGAAATGTGAAGTTAAAAAAGCTAAATTTTTTTCAATATTAGCCGATGAAGCATCTGATGTCAGCAATATGAAACAAATGCCACTTGTATTAATTATATTTATATAATTATAGTTATAATTATAGTTTAATTGTAATTAAAGTTAAATTATAACTGGATTTAAAAAAAAGTCTGTTATTACATTTTTATTTATATTTTTGGGGAATATCCTTGGAAAATATATGGCCCCAGAATATCATGAAACTCAGAATATCATGAAACTTTTATTTTATTACTTTTACATAATTTTGTTCATAAACAATGTTATATAATGTTATTAAATCTATTCACTATTATTAATGTATTTAGTGTAAAAGTTTATTATTATTGCTATTATTGTTATTATTGTTATTACAATTTGTAGATAATTATTGTGTTTAATTCATATTTTAAGTATATTATGTGCATAAATTTCCTATATCATAGTATTAATAATTATTTTTAATAGTGAGTTGTAATACAATTGTGTTATAATTGCTATAATGGGCATGGCACAGGTGTTTTTAGAAGTTAAACTAGATGGTTACTTTATATATTTTCAAGTTTCTGTTTAAAGATCATATTAGAAGCAAATTTTGAGTTCCATTGAAACTAGATTTTTATTAACAGTTTTTTTTTATCAGTTCTTCATTTTGTTACTATTCTACTATTTTATTTTAGTAATATAATAACTATTTTACTATACTATTTTATTTTAGTCCTACTGTTGAAATATGGTTTTTATTTAGTAAAGTTTCATGATTTAAAATTTACTTTATTGGTAATATACTAACAGTTTAGAAAAAGAAATTTAGCACAGTTAGGGTAAGAAATTTGTTTACTTTTAACATTTCAAAACTGGCTTTTACTGTTTAATTCTTATGCTATTCCTAGTTTTGTTATATGTCATACGAATAATAGATAAATTGTGTGTTCATTGTTTGGGTTCATGAAACTATTGTATCATTACTGATTGATTCTTGGTATAACAGTCGATTACTGCCAATATATAGTTGCTGCATTACTTTGCATACAAAATATTTTTATGTACACAAAATTACTTTCCACAGTACTCTCGCCTGCCGAATAAACGCGGGGGGGGGGGGGGTGTCCTAATAAATAGGAGGGTCGGAAATTTTTCTAAAATCTAATAAAGGAGGGGGGGGGTCCTAATAAATAGGAGGGTCCTAAAATCTCATAAACTGAGGGGGGGGGGGGGAGGGGAGGGT